GTGTGCTGCATCAGGGTAGACCTGCCCTCCGGAGGGCTTTCCGTGGCCAAATGCAGGTCACCAGGCCTTTCTTCTCAGGTGCCTCTGCACGGACTTGAACCGTCAGGCTCCCAGTTAGTAGCCGAGCTCTTAGGCAGTTTGCTTGTCCTCCCTGCCCACCCCCCGGGGTGAGGGCTCTAATGATAGGGTATGAACAAATACCACGTAAACTAAGGGTCCTACCCCGGGCGCCAAAGCCTGGCCCCCAGTCTTCTGGGTCTGGCGTCTGGGGACAGCTGCAGTCAGCACCTCTTCTCCCTCCCCCAGCTGCCATGGTATGGATGGTGACCATGGCCAAGCCGGACCCCTCCTCCCAGGGAGCCCTCCAGCTCCCCTACGATCCAGAGATGGGTGAGTGTCCGGGGGCAGGTAGCCCCCGAGTGGGCGAGTAGCTGCTCACGTGTACCCCTCTGGTGTGAGAGCCAGGGCCAAAACTCCTAGTCCTGCCCTGGACTGGCCTCTCTGTGGGAGCAGGGACTGCAGCAGATGGGCCCCCCCAAACTGGCCCTCCTGCAGGCCTTGCCCAGCCTCATGGGGCTTCAGTTCCCTCTTCGCTCCCTGGGCTGCAGTGGCTCGTGGGTGGGTGGGCAGGCAGCGCTGGGTGACCACCCGTTAGCGCTCTGTTGCCGAGAGCCCAGGATGCCCTTTAACTGTGCCTGTTTCTCCCCTTGCCATTCTCCACGCCGCCGTGGCGGGCACCCAGAGGATGACTCCTACGACAGTTTGGGGGAGCCTTCATACCCAGAGGTCTTTGAACCTCCGCTGCCTGGCTACATGGGGGAGGAACCAGAAGAAGAGGAGGAAAGTAAGATGGCTGATGTCAGCCTGGGCGCGGGGGGCACGGGATGTGGGGGGGCACGGGGTGGGAGGGAGAAGCCCTTTCTCATTTCGAAGCTGTGTGTGGACGAAAGTCGGGGAGAAACCGGCAAAGGTGTGGGGACAGGCTAGCAGGCCTTGGGAGCTTTTGTGTTGAGGCTACCCCATTTACTTACCAGGTGTTTCCCCAAGTCCTGACTGTGCTGGGGTGCAGGAGATGACACCCTGTCAGAGCCTAACAGGAAAGGGGTGGGGGGCTGGTCTGAATGGGTCAGAAAAAGTTACCCGAGGAGTCACTTTGGAGGCAGGCTCCCAGCGTGGGTTGCAGCGGTCGTTGGGTGAGTGGCGGCCTGAGAAGGGTGTCCAGTGAGTGGTTGGTGAGGAGACCCCAGGGCAGAGAGCTTGGGCTCAGCATGGAGGTGATGAGAGCCACGCGTGGCCACACCCACACCAAACCCTCTGCTCCGCTCCGATCCTGACTCACAGCGAGCCTGGGCCAGAGTGGAACTGCCCAGCAGGGGATGCAAGGCTGCGATCGTTAGGGGGCTGGTTGGTGTGGACCTCTACCCTAGCGCTTCACAGCCCACTGCTGACCCTGCAGGGCCACCAGGTCTCGTGGTGGCTATCCCCGGCAGCAAAAGGAGCAGCTCCCAGTCCAGGCCAAGCTGTCAGGAGGCCAGATGGGGTGCTGCCCTCGTGCAGATGATAGAAGAGTGAAAGGCCGGAATCGGGCTGGCCAGAGCACAAGATAGACAGCCCTGCAGCACCCCCGCCACCCCCCACCCGAGTGAGGAATCCACAAGAAATGGGCAGGGACTGGGTTTTGAGCAGGAGACCCCGAAAGTGTGGGACCCCTAAATGGAGGAGCCCACGGACACACAGTGGGTGAGGGGCTCTGGGAGGAGGCCTTAGACTCATCCACGGACCTGTTGACACTGAGGCCCTGGCGAAGGGCCCTTGGTGGGTGCAGGGCCCATCGTAATGCGAGCACTAAGGACAGGACCAGGTGTCCAGGCTGGGACAGAGCCCATGGCAGACCCAGAGGGCTGTGTGTGTGGGGACCAGAGTGGAGGGGAGCTGCAAGCCAAACAATGCCTGCGGCCTAGCAGGGCCCGTTTGGGGCCTGAGGAGGCATGTGCCTGCAGCTGGTTTCGGAAGTGAGCTCTTTGAAAGTCTTGTCTGAGGATGATGGATGAAGGGAAGGGAGGGCCGGAATGGGAGTGGTAGCTAGCGAGAGAAAAAGCAATCGTTTCATGTGGTATTAAATTAAAATAGTGAGGAGGTGGGGGGCCAGACCCCACCGATACTAGAACTCGCTGGTTCAGTAAGTACAATTGTACGGTTGAGATACATAAGTATTATATTAAAGTCATTGAGAGCATGAGAGATAAAAGAGATCTTACAATGATGCAGTCAGACACATTACATGGTAGCATTGCTCACCTCAGCCCAGCTTGGTGGTCCACGTGGAGAGAGGGGTAAGGGAAGGAGGGCAAGGGAACAAGGGAGAGTGGGAAGAGAAGGGAGTGACCAGGGAGTGAGCAGCAAGGAGAGCGGGGTCAGAGTCAGAGAGATCTCTCTTGCTGACCCACGCCTATATACCTTTTGGGGGCATGCCAGCCCACTAATTACAGGTAGAGACATATGTCACAGGGAGGAGCTGCACTGTAGGTTACACAGCAATGAGAGGGTGGTCTAGGGGTGGTCTCTGGGTCTCCATAGGAACCCTTATCAGTGGGGTGAAAACTCCGCCTACAGGAGCCTGTCCATTGTCCCCAAAGGCAGGGAGCAGGCCCACCCCTGTGGTGGGATGAGACAGCAGTCTGGTAACTGATTGCCCTCAGGGGAGGGAATGCCTGCGCATCTGACCTCCCCCCACAGTTTCAGGTGCCCAAGACGTGACCATGTGTGTTAGGCACTGAGGAAGGAGCCCACTGGGGCGAGCGGTGGAAATCAGAGGCCCAGGTGCAGTGGTGATGGAGAGAGGGGGTGGAGGTAGGCTGGGGCAACTTGCTGCCTGGAACTGGAGTGGGGACACCTCTCAGTGGGAGATTGGAAGAGAGGAGGGGAGGCCAACAGGTCAGGCAGCTGTGGGCTTCCTCACAGCAGCCTCCTTGGCTCAGATGGATTATGTAACTCTTTCTGTTGTCTGTGGGAGCAAAACACAGCTATTCCTCACTCACTCTCTTGCTGTTCAGCATTTCACGTTTATGACTATCGGACACCCTACAGTCTTGTGCTTTAACGACGTGTGACACAGCTGCCTGTGAATGGTGGCCGGGAGCGCCAGGGTCTGAGTCCAGAGTGAACTGGCTGCGATGGGCTGGGTTGGGGTCAACTCGGCTGAGTCCTGATTCCCGGTGGTTTGTCAGTTCTAGGGTGATGTGCTCCTCCTCCATTTTTGCATAGTGCCAGTTTTCTCATGAAGACCTGGCCGTGGGCACCTACCCATGGGGAGATGCGAAGAGTGGGAGAAAGGCACCCCTGTGAACAAGGGCACCTGCACTAAAGAAAACAAACGCATCCCAGACGCCGTGCTTTACTTTTCAATCCCGAAGGAGCAAATGACTCCGTAATTTTACCTCTTTTTACGGGAAAGGAAGTTCCCAGAGGCCTTCTATCTAGTCATATACAATTCCCTGTGGAATTGTAGTGAGATTCAAGTTTCAAGGACCGATATGTGATTCAGACTTAACACTAAATTGTACACCAACCCTGGGCAATACTACATGTTGGTTTTTTCTTTGCTTTGCCCAACTAAGTACCGACCACTGGTTCTGAGTGGCAGAAATGCCCATTTGCGATTGCCCAGGTGGTAAGTCACCACCGTTTTTTGGAGGGTGGACTGTTTGGTCACCCCTCTTCCTGGCTGTTCCCTGGGTTGCGTTAGAAACTGCATGGTCTAGGCCCTCGGGGACCTGAGCTTTCCCTCCTGGGACTGGGCAAAAAGGGCCTGTGTTCTCTTGCTTAGCACGGACCTTTCTTCTCTCCCTCACCAGCCTCCCCTCGAGGCTCTGGAGAACGGGCTGCTTTCTCTTCCCCACACAGGGGGCGTGAAGCTGGGCCTCGGGGACTTCATCTTCTACAGCGTGCTGGTCGGCAAGGCGGCAGCCACGGGCAGCGGGGACTGGAACACCACCCTGGCCTGCTTCGTGGCCATCCTGATCGTGAGTGGGTGCTCCTGGCTCCCCAGGGTCTTCACCAGGGGGCCCAGCATCCCCGGGGACTCTTCAGGCACTGCCTTTCCTCTGAGGAGCAAAAGCCATCAGTGGGTTGGGTGGGCCCTCAAGAAAAGCCAAGGTTTGCCAGGAGGTTGTAGTTACCAACAGGAGCCCCTGGGCGGTGCAGACCGTCCATGCGATTCCCTGCGAACCAAAAGGTTGGTTGGAGTTCACCCAGAGGCATTTCGGAAGAAAGGTCCCGTGGTCTCCTTCCAAAACTCAGCCACCAAAAGCCCTATGGAACCCGTTCAACCCTGACTCACACGAGGTCACCAGGAGTCAGAATCCCCTTGACAGCAGCTGGGAGGACAGCACTGGACCCAGGCCTGACCCACAGGCTCTGTTGCTGAGCAGCTCGCAGGCCAGGAGTTGTGTGTGCTTGACTGGGTACACCATGTGGTAGACGCTGACTGCGGGTTTTCCGACCTAAGTTAGGAGCCGTGCCCGTGGGCACGGAGCTTGCGGGCTCCATTCTCTGACCCCCTGCAGCTGCAGTGCTTCCCCTTCTTCTGTGGCCCCGGCACCAGGGGGTTCTGAATTGGGGGGCTCTTTTGAGGTCACAGAGCACAAGCCCATCGTTTTAAACCCCAGGATCTGAAGGCCCCAAGGACCCTTAGAGGTGCTGTGGGTTAATGGTTGTCTTGCCAACAGCTCAGTCATTGGTTCCAGAAAGCACTCACTAGGCGCTTGATGAAAGAGAGAGGAGGCTGTTTGCTCCCTTAAAGACCTACAGCCTTGGAAACTATGTATCGCCCAGGTGGCCCCGTAGGCTATACATTGGGCTGTTCACTGAAAGGTTGGCCGTTCAAACCCGCCAGCCGTTCCTCGGGAGGAAGATGAGGCTGTGTGCTCCTGAGAAGATTGACAGTCTTTGAACCCTTAAGGAGCCGTTCTTCCCTGGCCTTTAGGGTCACGATGAGCATGAACTTGATGGCAATGGATTTGGTTTTTTCATTTTGATTTATAGTCACTGAATCTGGCCAAATTCACATAATGGGAAAACATTGGATTTCGCCTCAGAACTTTCCTTTTAGGCTCTCAGAATAGTCCATGCTAAGTGCTCTGCGCTTGAGGAAATCCCTGGGCATCACCTGTAGGGCTCGTTAAGGCTGGTGGCCTAGGTTTCTGAAGGTTCTGTTGCTGCCCACGAGGGACTGTCAGGCACAGGGTAACAGCCCTGCAGACCTTCCACCTCGGACAGTCAGACTGCAGCCTGCTGCACCCCGGGGTAGAACCAGCACTCTTGTCCCTTGTCCCCCCACCCCAAGGGTCACGGCCTTCCTTGGCCAGGGCTCAGGAGAGGTGCCTCCCACACTTGCTTCCCAGGGGATGGGTCACCTGGTATTGCTGCCTCTCTCTGCTGTTGAGAACCTCCCCAGCATTCTCTTGTATAAGCAGAGACTTCCTGAAGGGAGCCGTCTTCCCAGGGTCCCTAAGTCAGACAGAGGAGGGAGTGCGCCTTATGGTCCTACGTGACTGGGCCGGGCAGACCAGGGAGGCAGTGTCGTGTGGGAGAGGGGCCGTGTCATGGGAGGCAGGAGGCTGCTTTCTGGCTTACCCACTCCCCTGGGGGTCGGTATTAATTATGATGGGGATAAGCTGTTAACCACTCAGAGCCGTTGTGAGGCTCAGGGAAGATAACGGAGGACAAGTTGTTGAGCCTCACAACGGCTCTGAGAGGTTAACAGCTTATCCCCATCGCCTGATCCCTTTACCATGTCCCGTTCCCTCCTCCCCGACGCGGGCACACGGTGGGGTTGCCCATCTCCCGCCTCCCTCCTCTGTGCCCTGCAGGGTTTGTGCCTGACCCTCCTGCTGCTGGCTGTGTTCAAGAAAGCGCTGCCTGCCCTCCCCATCTCCATCACCTTCGGCCTCATCTTCTACTTCTCCACAGACAACCTGGTCCGCCCGTTCATGGACACCCTGGCCGCCCACCAGCTCTACATCTGACCCGAGGGGCAGTGCTCGGGCTGGCAGCCAGGAGGAATTGCAACTCGACGCAGCAGTTGTATAGTTTTACACTCTAGTGCCATATATATTTTTGAGACTTTTCTTTCCTTAAAAAACAAAGAAGGAAGTGAGTGGAAAAAGGGCATCGTGTTCACTCTGTGAAGATGCACAGGTGGTGGAGCCCGTGGTTGCTGTCGCCAGGCTTTGGCTCACCCCGCCGTCAGCACTCAGCTGCACTGGCAGGAAACACAGACACATCCGGTGAACTGGGAAGGGTTACCCGATGCAAGGAGGCGACCAGGAGAAAGGACACCTGTGTGCGCTTCCCAGCCTGGAGTGCTCTGAGGGCCAGAGTGAAGGGACCAGGAGCACCTGTTTGGGACACGTGACTGAGCACCCGACGCTCTGGCCAGGGAAGATGAGCCATTTTTTTTTACCCCTGCCACAAATGTCCCCTGTGCTTTGTGTGTGATGTCATTGTTATTTTATTACCTCTAGAAGCAGAGTCCTGTTCTTGTGACAGCAAGTTCCTGCTGGATAGCTTACTATCCATATCAATAAATGGATGAATCCCCCCGGGGCTGTCCGTGTTCGGTCTCTCTGTCAGTGTGCACCCTCTCTCGGCAGCTCTGCACTGCCACTCCGGGATGTCCTCAGACCCCAACGGGAAGAGATTTGTCCAGCTGTGGAGGAGAGAGGCTGAAATCGCGTGTTTGGCCAACCAGTTTCCTCCGCCAGGGTTTTCAGAGAGGCCAGGCTGAGCAGAGCAGGCTGCTGGCTGGGCCCGTTGCACTTGCCGTTACAAACCCTCGCTGGTCGAGTGCCAAAATGGCTCCTTCATCCTCCACAGAAACCAGCACGGGGGCCAGGTGAGAGTGGGTGTCCAGAAGCTGGCTCTCCTGTGGCTGCAGCTCTGGGGGCGTGGACCCGTGGAGGTTCTTCCTCCGGGCATCAGACGCGGTGGCCGGCTGCAAGGAGAAGCCCGTGATGGTGCTGAGCTGCCTCCGGTGACGGCCGGGCAGGGAGCACGGCTGCCGAGTGGCTGAGACAAGGCGGCTGCTGTATTTGGAGTTCAGCCTGGGAGCATGGCTTGTTCCAGAAATAATCTGAGGACTGTGACTGCATGTTTATGAGGAGCCGAGGAGTAAAGGGTATTCTGATGTTTGACAGGAGCTTACTTTTTCTGTGAACAAGACGAGCAGGGCCTGAGGAGGCCGGCTTGTCCTCTCAGTGAACTCAAACCTCTAGCCTTTCACCTGGTGGCCACTCGTGCTTCCCCTTTGTGCACCCAGAGATCTGCCAGGTGAGGGAAAGAAACTTGACGAAGCCCACCCGAGAGAGCAATGAGAGCGCTAGTAACCTCTGAAAGGGTAGGTTCAGGCCGCCGTCTCCAAAGAAGATAGGGCTAAATGTCAGGATTTGTCAGGCGAGAAGATGTTTCTCCACGCCCTGACCGGGAGCGAACTGGAGGCGACGACCACCACGTCCAGAGGTCAGTGTGGAAGGTGGATCCTACCCGCGTGGAAATGGCCTGACAGAGAGGGAAGGGGCTGGCTGTGTGTGTGCTTAAGGGGAGAATCTGTTAGTGGGGAAAACAAGTAAATGTGGGAGGACAAAATGGGCCGAGACTTAACATAGAAGCCTGGTCCCCAAGGAGTTGAGAGACCAGGCCACCCAAAACAATGGGGTGAGGAAAGATGCAAGGGGCCAAAGTCAAGCACCCTTGAGAGGGCAGGGACATCATGCATAGCACTGATCTACCCAGCTTCCGGGGTGGCCAGTCCGCTTTTGTGACTATGTCACCGCATCTGCTGTAGATTTCTCGTGTCGAAACCCTTCCCTTCTTAACTGAAGCCCGTTTGATCCTTCCCATCCCTGTTTTGTATGGTAGCACGTTCTTAAAGCTATGGAAGTGTGGTCATACTCCCCGTCCTGGAAACTTGCTTTCATGTACGTGCCTGAGATGGTCATGCGTACAATGTCACTCCTGTTAGGTGCCACCCAGCTGGTTCCACTCTTAGCAGGCCTGTGTACAACACAATGACACACTGCTCTGGCTCAATCCTTTGAATGGTGGCATAGTATTCCATTATATATTCCAAAACAGAGTTTTTCTGCAATGCACAGTCTGTTCTGTTTGGTGAATTTGGGTAAGAGGAATAAGGTCGTCATATCTGATTGGAAGTGCCCTAATTGACTGGACGTCACTCACTCCCCGAGGAGTTGTATCAGTTTATATGTCCGCAATTTTCCAAAACCTACCAGCACGTGGTATAAACGGAATTTCTATTTTTACTAATTAGATGGATGTTATCTCCTTTGGAGTTTTAAAAATAGTTTTATTGACATACTTCCCTTCCCATACAATCCAATGGTTTAATCATTAAAAAGAGTTGGGCAGTCTTTCGAGTTCTTGGGTCTCTTGCTTTCTGATGGTCGGACCAGGGTGCAGCAGCCTTAGCCAGTGCCCTGCTCCAGCTGGCAAGGCTCACTTCCTGCAAGACATCCCCAAGGAGAAGCCACATGGACCTACCCTAATGCAGGCCTGGGTGCTAGAGTAGCCGTGTGGAGACCCCTGCCAGCGCTGAGATGCTTACATGCTCACTGATTCAGCTTTCCTCCTGCAGTTGGCATCATAGTGTGTGTTTTGTGAGATAAAGAAGGACTTTGTGGATTGGTGTTGGACATATGGGTTAATGTTGGACTTGAGGGCTTGGGCAGCACTGGGTTGGGATGTTTTCTTGATGTGCACTTAACCTTTATATAAAACTCTCTCTTATAAAAAAAAAAAAAAAGAGTTGGGCAGTCATCACCACGATCCATTTTGGGACATTCCTTCAGATTTTAGTTTGTATTTTGTTGTTTTTGCACCTTTGTTGTTTCAGTGTGGTTAAAAATATATAAATTTATGCCACGATTTAAAATAATAACTACTACACTAATTACACTAATAATGACAAATAAGAAAATGTTGTAAACTTGATTGTGGTAATGATTATATCACTTCTTGAAGTGATTGAACTATTGACTTGTATGCTATATGGATGAAGTGCCAATAAAACCGTTTCAAAATACAGAAAACCTTTGCCAATTTAGCATTTGAACATGTACAATTCAGTGGCATTGGTTTTGTTCACCATATTGTATCACCATCATCACTATCCATTTCCAGTGTAAGAATTCAGTGTCTTCTCAGCCCCTGCCTCTGACCCCCTTCTGATACACTCTCTATGTGCATCTGCCTGCTTCATGTAAGTGGGGTCAAATGTCATTTGTCTTCTAAGATTATCTCATGAAGTCTCCAGCTTCGTTTCTGTCACCGAGCCCTTATTTTCCACCCACTGATCTCTGTTTTCCACGCTTGTATCCCCATCCACAATAACTGTGAATGTATCTTGATTCCATGTGGGATCCATTTCAGACTGAAGAAGTTGGTAGACTAATTTCTTCCCCACCTGCTTTAATGGTTGGTGGGTCAATCTGCATGATAGTTGTAGGTAACTGGTATTATTCTATCACAGACAATAAGCACTGTACTTCAAGATAGATCGTGAAAGGTTCTTTTTGACAATGAATGCACCCCGCTTCCTCTGAATTTGCCGTTCCTGGCATAAGAAACCATATGATTGACTCAAAATGGCCCAAAATACCAGTCCATGTCAGCTGTGGGGCACAGTTCTCTGATAGACACAGGGGGTCACATGCTTTGTACATTCCATGGATGTTTGCAACCTTTTCTTGTTTTGAGTCATGCCCCGTCCACAAAGAAAGGGCAGGAAGGCTGCTCCAGCCACGTGACTGAAGCTGACTCTGAAGGAAGCAGGTCTTCCCGTCATGTTTCCGTCATGTTCCATCTGGCATGATTTTAGACCATTTCTGCTGATTGTTCCTAGGGTTGTCGGTGTCTTATCCCTCAGAAATGGACAGCCTATTCCTTCTTCTTAGCTTGTTCTTTGTTGACCCTGCTGGCATTTGAAATACGGGTGGCATAGCTCCCAGCATCGCGACAACATGCAAGTCACCACAGTTTGTCATGCTGAGAGCCGTGGAGGTCATTAGGCATTACATAATGAACCATCAGGGCGATGCGAATCAAAAGCACAAGGAGATATGTATCACCGTGACCCCCAGTAGAATGCCAATGACTGAAAAACGAAAGGTAAGTGTTGATGAGGTTATAGGGAACCCTCCTCCAGTGCTGGTGAGAATGCAGGATGGGGCAGCCACTCTGGAAAACAGTTCAGCAGTCCCTCAAAAAGGTGATGGCCATGCCGTTGTCAGGTCCTGTCCAGCCAGTTTCCAACTGGTAGTGGCCATGAGACAGTCTAACTGCCCAAAGGGTTTGCTTGGCTGTCATCTTTATAGAAGCACATGGGCAGCATTCTTCCCACGGCTTTGCTGAGTGGTTCCAACGGTCCCGCACACACTGAGCCACCCACAGGCCTTAGAGAACCATTTATCCTACTTAAAAAAAACGTATGGTGCACCTGACTTTTCTCCATTTATAACCTCAACTACCTTCTGGGAAAGGTCAGGCATTGATGGCTTTTCTGCTGCTGCTCTGGTTGTTACAGGACGGCTCGATGGCAGTGTGAGACAGGACCCTTGATGGATGAAGGAAGGGAGCCAGTGGGAACTCTGCCACCTCACTGTGGTGCAACTTCGCCCCACGAGCCCCCAGGACAGGTAAGGTCCTCCTGGCCCTGAGATAGTGTGTGTGCACGCGCGCGGATCCTTGACAGGCGTCAGGAAGGTGGCTCTGGTGTTTCTCTTCCATCCACCCTGCTCAGTAGCCTCTGCCCAATCGATCTGACGCTTTGTCTCTTCCAGTCTCGCTTTCTCGTCTGATTTACTGCCTTGATGTTCTCTGTCTGTGCTTCCTTTGAGGCCAGTGTTAGCTCTCTCAAGTTGTTCCTTAGTCTCTTACTAGTTCGCGGGGGTTCTCCATCCCCTTGTCTCCCCTCGCCTCACCCCATCCGGCCCCTGGATTCTAGAATGTATCTTCCAGCCTCCAAACATTTTATTGCTGGTAGTCCTGCTTTTTAAATTTCCCAAACTCTCAATCCCCACTTGGTGCTGTGGCAAGCTCTACAGCAGTGGTTCTCAAAGTAAAAACAGTGAGGTCAAAACGATTGTCTTTTTACTAAAAGACAGTCTTTTGTTTTTTCCACTCCCATTCCCTCATGAGCACACGAATCTTGCAGACCCTGCATAACGTGATCCTGCGGCAGACTGAGTGCACACGTGGACATGAGAATCTAGTGCTCTGCATCAAATCACACTGCAACAGAACTGCAAGCATGTGAAACTGCCCTTTCCATTGATTGCTTTTGTCATGCAAAATACAGCAGTGTCCATAAAAAAGACATTTTATTACATGAGATATGTATTGCTATTTTTTTAATATGGAAATATATTTCTTTTTTAATCATTTTATTAGGGGCTCATACAACTCTTATCACAATCCATACATACATCAATTGTGTAAAGCACATTTGTACATTCATGGCCCTCATCATTCTCAAAACATTCGTCCTCCACTTAAGCCCCCGGCATCAGCTCCTCATTTTTTCCCCTTCC